AGGAAAGAACTAATGAGAGAATAACGAATGATATATTAAAGTTGGTGGATTTTATATGATAAAAAAGGAATTTGTATAAAATAATAAATAAATCATTGATGGAAGATTGCTAACCAGACAGGTTTTTGTTTTTTTTTCTTTTTTTTGTTTACGATAGTACCAAATATAGTAATATAATTTTAAAAATATTATATTAAAAATATTATATTATATATATATATATATATATATATATATAAATGATATAATTAAAATATACGCCAAAGGATGTAATATAAAAATGTTTATGGTTAATATATTAATTTAATGGGTTGTTCGGAAAGTAATTTCGTGTTTTTTTTTTTGTGAAAATGAAAGACAATTTTCGTATAATGAACAAATATTTTATTAAATTATATTATTGGCCATTCTGGTCCAATAACTTTTGCCATCTTTTTGGTAGTAGCATGATTCTATGCTCATAAAATTTTTGGTCTTTGCTGGCAAAAAACTGATCGAGGTGGTTTTTGACTTTCTCATTTGAAGTGAAGGTTTTACCGTCTAAAAAATTTTGCGGTGACCGGAACAAATAATAATCCGAAGGTGCCAGATCTGGAGAATATGGTGGATGTAGCATTGTATCCTATTCAAGCTGTAAAAGCTTTTGACGAGTGACCAAACTTGTATGAGGTCTCGAATTATCTTGTTGGAACACTACACCTTTTCTGTTGATTAATTTTGGCCTTTTCTGTTGAAGTGCATCATTCAGTTTGTCCAGCTGATGACAGTAGACTTCCGAATTAATTGTTGTGTTATCCGGTAAAATCTCAAAAAAAAAAACGATTCCTTTAAAATCCCATCAAACAAACAGCATCACCTTTTTTTGATGGATATTGGCTTTGGAAATGCTTTGAGCCGGTTCATCTTTTTTGCTCCATGATCTCTTACGTTTGACATTGTTATATACAACCAATTTTTCATCCTCAGTAATGATGCGCTTCAAAAATGGATCATTTTCGTGACGTTTGAAAAGCGAATCACAGACGTCAACGCGACGACACAAATTTCTCTCCGTGAGAACATGGGAAATATATCGAGCATCGGGGTTAATCCCAGGCCTTTCAAGTGGTCATAAACAATTGAATTTGATAAATTTAATCTCTCAACGATCTCACGTGTTGTTATCCACCAGTTTGCATCAACTAATGCTTTTATCGTGTCTTTATCAGCTTAAACCGGCCTTCCAGAACGTGGTGCATCTTCGACATTAAAATTGCCGGATCGAAATTTTGCAAAGCAGTTCTGGCACTGGCGTACTGTCAACACATCTTCTCCATTCACATTGGTTAATTTCTTTCTGGCTTAAACAGCATTTTTAGTTTTTCTATAGTAAAAAAGCAAAATATGACGAAAATGTTGCTTATTGGTCTCCATATTTAAAAGAGCACCAACCAAAAACTACTGCATAGAATCAATTGGACCTTTTCACATACAAGCCTTGCTATATCAGCTCTTAAAAAATATAATGATTATGCGGTTTAAGTGTGAAGTTAAGTGCAAAAAAAATACAATTAAATTTTCTGTCGGGAAAAAAAAACGAAATTACTTTCCGAACAATCCAATATGTCACTGGTAAAATTAG